AGAGTTTGAGGTTTGGGGTTCAGGGGGCCACTCCAAACCCAAAGCCCTCAATCCCATACCGATGGCTCCTGCATAGACTTGGAAAGGTCTTAGGTACAGGAACCCATATTCTTGACACTCTGATGATCGGCACCAGCTCATGATCCTAAATATAGTTTGCTTTCCATGGGTGCAGGGTTTAGGGTTTAGCAGGTGTTATTTGTTCCGTTTCAACTCCGCTCCACTTTCTTGTCCGCGAAATCTCTGAGAGGCAGCATCATGACACCCGGGAATCTGCAGCTTCGGAGACAGTTGAGCTGTTTTCAGATGGTTTGCCGTCCGATCTGCTATGGCAGCACTACCGTGAAGCTTAGGGTAGGAGGCATGCAGGACCTGCCATGGCCGCATCTGTAAATGGGGGCTTCTCTAACTATGGTCGCTTTTGGGTACTTATGGTAAGAGTGGAGTGACGTGCGCTTCTGGGGATTCACCACGGGACCGTGATTAGAGATCATATCCACATGCTGTTGAACCTTCAGTCAGGTTTCACAGGCTGACCGTCCTCTCAGACAGTCTCGAGTCTAGCCCCTGAACCGCCTTTGCTTGAAACATTCACGCTGGAACCTCTGCTAATGGCTCGCATAAGGTTGGCAAAGTAGGCGATGGGGCTCCTAAACCCTAAACCCCAAACCCGGGGGTGTGTGGGGCAGATTAGAGGCTTACGTGCCTGTAGAGCCGCGTACGTGGAGCTAGACTCCAAGCACGCCACGGAGTTTTCTATTTAAATGCTCGACAATGTGGGAGTTTCCAAAAACTAGGGTACCTTGGGGTCCTTATAATAGGGGTCCTACTATTTAGGGTACTATATTAAGGTCCCCTATTTTCGGAAACTCCCATGTAGAAGCCTCGTACCCCAAACTGGAGTATCCCTAAACCTGAACCTAAACCTAATGCCGCAACATCCACAAACCCTAAACCCTTAAGCCTTAACTCTTTAGTTTGCTTCCAAGCCCCCAGCGCGAACGGAGACCCAACGTCCTGGCTCCTACGGTTGAATTGGGGCTTAGGGCATATGGGCTACGGCCTGAATAATAATTAGTAGTATTCTTTATAAGGTTTGCCTACTACAAGTAAAATATAACATACGCCAAAACCCGGGGTTTTGCTTCACTTACACATGAGGCTGAATACGAGATCTCATCTCAGGGGCGAGGGTGCGAAACGTTGGTTCAGGGAGCGTGGGCAGTACCATAGTAGTTCGACAAAGAATCCCTACTTTCTGCGATGACCCCCTAAATGCTAAACTTTAAACCCTAAACCTTAAGCCCTAAACCCCTACCGTTTACCCATGCAGGTACAGTACAGGGAGCTTGGACTCGATGTGTGCGGTAGACAGTGCTTTCGTACCACACTGGATGATCGACTCAAGCAAGGCATTCTGACTGCTACTGGGGTTTAGGGTTTAGGGTTTCGGCTTACCACCACCACCACCACCACCACCACTGCCGCTAAAGGAACCCCCAAAATAGTATTGAAATATATTTAGGCCCATACATTACCCGTCTTGCAAGTTTGTAAGGTGAAACCTTGCTCATCGATCGTCCGCGGGGCTCTGGCCTTGTACAAAGACTCCTTTAAACCTGTCTGCTGCGATGTTGTCCAGGTGATGAAAGGCCAGCAATGTCCGCAGGACCAATGTACTGTAGAGAATGTAGAGGTCTGAATACAACTCTAATCCCTACACCTTTACCGTAATTCATATACTCCATGTACCTCAAAAATCGTACATCTGACGTCGTGATGGCAGCTACACGGCAACCCCTATACCCTAAACCCTAAACCCCAAAGCCTGGACCTGGGAGCACAGTAGACTCTAGACCCCAAAAGCCCTCATCCTCACCTTCTCCAGACCCCTTCCTCCGAGCGTTTAGGGCAAGTGTAGGCTTTAGGGATTCAGGGTTTAGGCCTGCCGGGCTTTTGTGGTTAGGGTTTAGGGTCTAGGGTTTTAGGGGTGTGGGGGTTTAGGGTTTAGGGCTTCAGGCCTTTAGTGTTTAGGGTTTAGGGTCTAGGGTTTAGGGTTTAGGGTTTAGGGTCTAGGGCTTTAGGGTGCCTGGCAGCGTCGAAGCAGTTGACCGAGGGAAGTGCACAGAACGCTGGCAGTTGGCCAAGCCTTCGCCAGGACTCTCCTACGTCAAAGCAGCGACACTTTGGTTAAGCTTAAGGCTTCAGGGCTTCAGGCTTGTAATCCTTGACCGTTGCGTTTCCTTTTTGTGGATGATGACATGCGACTGTTTATGCTTTTTTGGGTCCCTGTCCCAAGAAGGACCTCAAACGCACGTCTGCTGCTTTCACTTCCCTAAATTTGACTTTGTGAACTTAAAACGCTAGCCCCATATCACCTCAAATCCAAGAACCCTAAACCCCTAAACCCTAAACCGTAAACCCAAGAACCCTAAACAAGGCTGCAAGGCCCCCACAGACCCCAAACCCAGACATTGGCTGTAGCCCCCCCCCCCTTGCGTGCCACACGAAAAACATAGGCAAACACGGCCGCTACTGCAGTGCATATTACAGAGATTGCAAACAAAAACATCGCACCCCTTGGTCAGAAACCGGGAAGCCACGAAACTCGTAGGACACATCACGCAGTAGCCGGAAATGCGGAACCATGGCAAACCCAACTGGAATACCAACTTTTACCGCCATCAATCGTTGAGAAACTCCGAAACTGCGAGTTTTTGGCGTCCACAGTAGAAGAATTGACTCGGAATACCCTCTTTGAAGACTAGATCATCTCACTGGCTCTAACTTCAGCCGCGACGGTTTAGGGTGTAGGGTTGGGGATTTAGAACTTTGGGTTTAGGGTTTAGGGCCTAGGGAACCTCCGACTTCTGTGAGTTAGTTTCGCTTGTGGCCCTTCCCTTCCCTGCGCAGGGGATTAGGGTTTTAAGCCCTGAGGCCGAGACCCTAACCCGTGGCCTCTGGGCAAAAGCTTGAATTTCCCTTCCGGACTCCCCGGCAAAGCCGCCGGCACCTACCAAAACAGCTGGGACTGATCATGAGACCAGCAATTCATGTTGACTCTCCCAGTGGAGAGGGCCTAGACTTTTGGGTTTTTGGGCTCAGGGCTTAGAGTCTAAGGGTTTAGGGTTTAGGGTTCAGAGTTTAGAGTCAAAGGGTTAAGGTTTGGGTTTGTTGGGTTCGTTGCTCCTTTCAGCAAAAGGATCTCCAAAGAAGCAGCTTGTTGGAAAGCCAAGAGGAGTTTGGCGGTTCCTCATGAGGATAAGATAGAAGCCTAAATACATTACCACTATTAGTCCTTATAAGGATCCTTATGATAGACATATTTTTATATATGACCCTAGGGATAGTTATGATGTATCTATATATATATATATATATGAAGGAGCCCAAAACCCTATTCCCAATATTAAGGCCCCTACCATCAGACACTCATTGCAAAGAAGATAACCAGCTTTCAGTTGCCATTCCTGAGTCTGCCCAGGCTCACTCTTTCGTTTCTGTAGGCCTCCATAAGCCCTAAGGATTCAGGTTCAGGATCTAGGGTTTATGGGGTCTCCAGGGTTTATAGGTTTAGGGTTTAGGGTTTAGGGTTTCGGATTCAAGGTTTCTGGTTTAGGGTTTAAGGTTTGGGGTTTAGGGTTTAGGGTTGAGGTTTAGGGTTTCGGGTTTCGGGT